GGGGCCGACGTCACACATGCGATGTCACGCCTGACAGTAGCTACACAGACACATGCACACAAAAGGTGGGGGGTTTTTGGGGGGCGGGGAATAAACAAGCCCTGCTGTGTTCTGGAACACCAATATTTACCAAGAAAGGTAAGTGTGAGATTTTCACAGACCTTTTTTTTGGGGGGGGGGTCACAGATTTGCAGGGAAGGGGTGCAATGTGCAGCAGCAGCAGCCCAAAGACGGTTTGGCAAGGGCTCTGAGGGTGACAGGAAGCATGAAGAGTTTCTTCTGCTGCCTGGTTGCCCCCGTGCTGGAGGCCAAGGTCCACTGTCCAGATGCGCTTGTCAGAGCTTGGGCCACCACCATGGTTTTGTGGGGGTTAGTCCCTGAGGGGGGCCCTGTCCACACTGTGGGAGGGCACCACCTCCACTGGCTTGCCTGTCCGTGTGCTGCTGCTGGCATGTTTCATGCCAAGCCACACAGAAGAAGTGAGCGAGCAGAGGAAAGAAGGATGGGCAGATACGCCAGGTGGGTGGCAGATATGCACACACTGTGCACTTGCCTGCACCCTTGTCCATTCCCCCTTGCTCCTCCTGGAGGCAAGTCAGATGCAGAGGGTGGTGCCCAGGTAGCAGGAGGCAGCAGACCTAGGGAGGTGGAAAGGCAGGAGGGGCAGGGAGGAGAAATATTGAGGGGGCCCAAAGGACCCCAGCCCCCTAGAGTTGGCGCCTGTGGTGGCTAGTAGGAATGGATAGCCTTATCCTCTAGGAATTTGTCTAAGTTGATGGCTGCTACTACATGTGCCCACCACATTGGCAGGAATGCATTGCAGGAATTCATTTGCTACAAATGCAAACATCCAGTTCAGTAGGTAAATGCCCTGGACTCTTGAAGGCTCTTGCAGTGGTGCTCCAGGAAAAGGCTCTGAACAGGGCTGAAGCACTGACAGCAGTGCAAGTGAGGAAGTACAGAAATGCTAGCAGAAAATGGGCATCGCAAACAGAAAACTGCCAGGGCAGGTAAAGGTGCCTTGCAGTGTACCAAAACCCTACCTTCCTAATCACTGAGCACCCTTTGTGGTCAAAGAAGAGCACGCCCACTCCACATATTTCTAAGCTTTCCTTGGAAACCATGGAGGTGAGAGATTTGAGCCGTGAGTCTAACTAAGCTTGCTTATTTGGACATAAACTCCATTGAAGTTAACAGGGTTTCACTTCCAAGGAAAGGTGTTTAGCACTCGGCTGTTTCTCTTTTAATTAAAGCAAAGGTGGAGGACTTTGGAGAATTGACTTTGTATACCCTGTTGTTCATCTAATCCTTAACGAAGAAAACAGAGGTTATATTCCAAAGGAAACGTACTTGGTACAGAAGTAGCGCAGTTTATACCAGCAAAGAGCAGCCAATTGATTTACTATATAAGTATATAGTACATGTTATGATGCTCTGTGGATCCACTTCCTCCTAAACAGATTCGGACATTGCTGCCTGCAGCAGAGGGAGCTGGATTATATGCCCAAAGGTTTGTTTTCCTCCCGTTTCTTAGCCTCATGAATGCATACATATTTCTTCTAGTCTAGCTCCACAGAAATAGAGTTAAATGCAGTATTTTCAGACAGAGGAAGTGATCGTTTTAGGCCCCATCTGCACTAAACATATAATGCAGTATCACAGCACGTTAAACAATCGTGGCTTCTGCCAAAGAATCCTGGGCACTGGTGTTTGTTAAGGACGCTGAGAGTCATTATCCCCCTCACACAGTTACAGTTGCCAGAGTGGTTTCACACAGTCAATGCCTCTTCTGGGGGAACTCTGGAAATTGTAGCTCTGGGAGGGGAATGGAGTCACCTAAAAACTTTCCGCATCCACAACAAACTATGGTTCAACGGATTCTTTGGTGGGAAGCCATGATGGTTTAAAGTGGTATGGCTCCGCTTCAACTACATACTGCAGATGTGGCCTGAATTGTTGTTCACTCCTTTAAATTATTTCAAAACGTATGATACTGTTTTATAGGGCTTTTTCAGCAGCAATTTTGTGGAACAAGTTCACGACATAAAAATACATAATAAAGCAGAAACAAGCAACAAGAACAAACCAATAACCCCCTGCCACAAACACATTTAAAAGGACATAGAATGTTAATCTGCCAAAAATCTGGTTTTCACCTGGTGCCTAAAGACAGATAATGGTGCCAGGTGAGCCTCCCTGGGGAGAGCATTCCACAAATGGGGACCTACCACAGAAAAAGGCCCATTCTCAGGTTACCCAAACAAGGGTAACAAAGGAATCCGGGTCTGTTCATATGGGGAGAGGTGATCCTTGAGATATTGTAGTCCTGAGCCACTGAAGGCTTTATAGGTCAAAACCAGCACTTTGAATTGGTCCTGGAAACTCACTGGCAGCCAGTGCAGTTGGGCCAAGATTGGCGGAATACCTTGGGTTAAATGTGCTTCAGGTTGAGCGTTTTCAAGTTACACTCCGTGGCGACCCGGAAGTAATGGAGCACATTACTTCCAGTTTCGCCGCTCACGCATGTGCAGACGCTCAAAATGACTTCACGAGCATGTGCGGAAGCGGCAAAACGAGACCCGTGCACGCACAGTCACATTTTACGTTCTACTCAGGATGCGAATGGGGCTCCAGAACGGATCCCATTCGCATCCAGAGGTATCACTGTATGGTCACACCACTTGCTTCAGTGAACAACCTGGCTTCTGAATTCTGCACCAGCTGAGGTTTCCCAACCATCTTCAGAGGCAGCTTCAAGTATAACTGAAAGGGATAAATCAGGAGTCAATCAGTGTAGAAGAACCCTAAAATCCTTTTTGCTCTCTGCCACTTGTTGTTGGTATGCTGAACCGAATAGGTTTTTGCTGTTAACAGTTATTGGAGTTTAGTATTTCACTGGAGCGAGGAGGGGTTAATATTATGTCTAGTTCTGTTAGTGGTCATTTTAGTTTTACATTTTATTGTTTGATGTTTTTGGTACTATGTTACATTAAAGGCTTGGGAGGGTTTTGACCCCTGAAAGAAACCTATTAATACTTTATACAACACAAAACAAATGTTCTAAAACAATGTGAAAGAAGATGAAGCTGTTATCTTCTCTTTTTTAAATCTTGCTTCCATGATTTGTTTTCATCTAAGTCAGGAATGAGTTGAGAACCTTAGTGCAATGGAGGCAACAAACATTAGGCAGTCTGAAGTCCCACTTGTATCTGCGGAACCAAAATTAACATTACATTGATTTCAAGATTCACTTACATTTCAGTGGTTTGTGCCCCAAGGTGAAATTAATGGAACTTATTCTCAAGCAAATGAGGTTAGAATTCAAGTGCATCGGTGAATTTGCCTTCTCTGGAAGTATGGGAGTATATTTATTCAATTCACACCCCAATTTGGATAAGCATGGACATATCAAATCAAATCAGGCAACCATGTAAAACAGTAGAAAACACTGGATTTCCAAAGCTATGATTAAAAAACTATAATACTATTAAAAGAGTCTCATTTGACAAAAAGAATCATAAAAACAGAAGACCACAAAATATTACATTCCTGTTTAAATAGGTAGGCGTAGATTTTCATCAGAGGAGCAGGGAGCCAATAGACCTTATTGCAAAGGACATCCTGGAGTTCTGATGCCACAGGCCAATGGGCTTCTTTCATTTTTTCCAGTCCTCCCAGTGGAGGTTGGTCCATTAGGGCATATAGGGCAGCATCCTGCCAAGTGCAGTCTGCCCTCAGCTGTATGTTTTCTAACTTACAGTCCAAGGGGAAACACTGAAAGTCAGCTTTCCTTCTCCTTAGTTTCTGTGTAGTAGGGATGCGGGTGGTGCTGTGGTCTAAACCACTGAACCTCTTGGGCTTGACAATCAGAAGGTTGGTGGTTCGAATCCCCATGATGGGGTGAGCTCCCATTGCGCTATCCCAGCTCCTGCCAACCTAGCAGTTTGAAAGCATGCCAATGCAAGTAAATAAATGGGTACTGCTGCGGCGGGAAAGTAAATGGCGTTTCCATGTGCTCTGGTTTCTGTCATGGTGTCCCAGTGCACCAGAAGCAGTTTAGTCATGCTGGCCACATGACCCGGAAAGCTGTCTGCGGACAAACACTGGCTTCCTCAGCCTGAAAGTGAGATGAGCACCACAACCCCAAAGTTGTCTTTGATGGGACTTAACCATCCAGGGGTCCCTTACCCTTTTTTACCTAGTTTCTGTGTTGTATTTGTAGAACTCAGTAGGGGGGGAGGATGAAGGTCAAAACTAGAATTAGTTGGCTGTGTCTGCCATTGACTCTGGCTCCATCTGCTGTTGGTGTTTCTGCCAATCTCAATGGGCATCAGCCCCTGATGAGTCCATTGTACTTCCAGTGGTGATGGGCTAGAAAGTAGATTATCTGATGCCAATCTTAAGGCTCAGCTGGGTTCATACGGGCCAAGTAATCCTCATGGTAACCTGGTCCTGGAATGCTGAGGGCTTTAAAAGTAAAGATCACTACTTTTAATTAAGCCTGAAAACAAACTGGTGACCAGCACATTTGATAAAGGATCGCTATTATATATGTCCAATTAGCAGGAACCAATCAACATCCCAGCAGCAGCGTTTTAGACCAACTAAGAAGTCCAAACTCTCTCTAGAGACGGCCCCAGGCATAGAGAATCACTGTAATTGTGTTTACAAAGGGCCGCCTTTAAAAGATTATGTTTCAGTTTGCTTCGATCCACTCCTGAGCTGACAAACCTCTACCAGCTTTCTGGGATCAGAAGTTGGAAAATGATGAATGGGAATGGAGGAGGTGGAGATGTGTATCACTAGCATATTGATGACATCTCAAGATCTTCAAGTGACTTCATTCAGTGGCTTCAGGTAGATGTAAAAGGGCCTGGGAGAGATGGTAGATACTTGGGGAATTACTGAGAAATTCTATGTAATTCACAGAATCATAGAATTGTATAGTTGGAAGGGACCCTGAGAGTCATCTAGTTCAACCCCCTGCAATACAGGAATCCTGCCCTGGGTGGTCTTGAACCATCAACCTTCTAGTTAACAGCCAGACACACTGACCCATTACACCATCTGCTATTTGGTAGGTCTCAAATTTCACCCAACGGGAAATCATCTTTTTTCGTGTGCCACTTCAGTGCTATGGTGATACCTGGGCACTCTCCACTAATAAATAGCTGAGGCATTTCTAGATAAACTTCACTGGCATGCAGACAGCAATAGTAAAGATTGGCATAATTTGGCACCAGATCAAGACAATCTAATATCTAAAATTACTGTTTTATCCCATTTGATTTCAAATGCAGTTTTCATATTGCTCATGCCACACTACAGCACAGCATGTAGTCCCCACACTTCAGTTGTTCAGAATGTGATACAGAGATAAAAACAATTATTTATAGGTAATGTGAGAGCAAATGTATCTAGGCAACTTGTATTGTGTCAGAATCATAATATCTAGAACTGAGGGCAGAGGAGGGGCTTTTTACATATTTTATTGAGAACTTCAACTTGTATCATAAACCAATATACTAAAATCCCAATAATTATTTTGTACCTAAATAGGCATGTTGTGCTTTCCCGACTAATGAAATAAGGGGAAAGCGTTGCTAGCTTGAAGCAAAGGTAACCTCACTAATTCAGCTCACTTGGGTAAAACCTTACTGTATATCCTTGCTATGGGGTTTATCTCAAACAAGGACTGATCTTAACAAGGGTTAATAGGCTGACCAATAAGAAAGCCCAGAGGCGGAGCCTATGTGATTTTGAGGCTGAGCCCAGAGGTTTTGACAGTTAGTTTGGTTGGTTCTTTTGGGCCAGGGGTAGATAGCGGAAGGGACAGACTGAGAGGGAATAGAGTAACAGCATTTTGAATATATTTTAAAACTTGTTTGTATTTGAAATAAACTTTAATCTTCATTGTTAACTCTACCTGACTGAGACTCAATACTTCACCAGGGAACCCTGGGTCTTTTCCACAAAATTTGTGACAGTGGAAGAATAAAGTAGTGGTGTACAGGTCAATAGTCCGTGAAACGAACAGGGACTCTGTACGAATGCTACAGTAGTGTACTCAGTGTTGGGATTTCAGTTCTCACCAGCTGCAAAGAGGCAGCTACTGTGTTGACATCATGTGATGTCTCTGAGCGTGAGACAGGAAGTCTCTGCCAGTTCTCATGTAACCGGAGAGTTACTTTTGCTTCTGAGTCGAAGTGTGAGTCGAGTCGTAGACTCTTCTGTTTGCTGCTCAGGAGAGCAGTCATGTTTGTAAGAGCTGCTTGTACAGTCTTAATAAAGTAGTTGAGTAGACTACGGGCTGTCTCTTTCTTCTGTGATGGAATGGCAGAAGATTAATGTGCTCGTCTCACAGGAGGGAGGGGTCGCTTATTACCGGTCTCTCTGGACTGAGGGAGGATTCCAGCCAGAGAGTGACCACCAGAGAGAAGCCCCGGTGTCTTGGGAAGTTGGCACCCTTCCCGCGGGGGCGTTTTTCCAACACTCGGTCTACTGCTCCCCATTCTCTGTCGTCGCCATAGTTATTCTCCTGTATCTGGGGTGACAAGTGAGCCAGGAGAATAGCTAGGTTAGATTTGGATCTTCAATGGCTGATCTGCATCACACAATATAACTTACAACATGTAACTTTCTTCATTTCTGTCTCCCATGGACTTTCTGGCAACAACTAATTTTGCCCAACCAATAACAGTCCTGCAATGGTCCTCACATTTCAAATTCTGCATCCTCATAAATTCTTGGATGCGCTTCTCACATTAATGACTCACATCTGACAAGTTATTGTGTTCTTCGACCAAGAGATGCCATATGGTGATGCTGAGAAAATAAGAGTTTTGTTGCAGTTCCCTCACTGGAAGCCAGATGGTGATGCTAAAGATGCTGAATGATAAATGAGATAATGTCCCCACCTTCTATGGTGCCTCCAACTTTCCATCCCATTATCCTGACCATTCATTCATTCATTCATTCATTTATTTGCTGTCCTGGTAGAAAACCCTGGATGTGGAAACAAAGTGAACCAAGAGAGAATTTCTGATCATTCCCATTCCACCCACAATTCCTTTACAAGAAAGCTACGTTAGACTTAGAGCTGGAATGTGCAGGGACTGCTGAAAATAGACTCTGTGTTGAGTTTAAGCTTGGCGGTATCCCATTTCCCATCACTGTTTTTCAGTTGTGATGTGGGCAACCCATGGTCCTCCAGATGTTGTTGGACTACTAATCCCACCAGCTGCATCCAGCTTGGTTAATGGTCAAGGATGATGGGAGTTGTAGTTCACCATGAAACCAGCCAACACAACATTCTGGTGCATGGCATAGAGAAATTCTAAATGCACATAAGCTTGTCTTGATCGTGTGCTCATTATGTTTACTATTACTGTTACAGTATTAGCAGTATTATTTAATTTCTGCACCACTCAGTGGTGAAGTTATTGAAGTGACAGGCAACTAAAACCAAACCAAACACAACCTGAGAAATATAGATAGCGCAGACATTTCCCCCAGTTTCAATCAGCCAAAAGTTGAAAGCAGTGGATTTTGTTAGATAAGTGTGGCATTTTTTTAAAAAAGGTTTATTTATGTGGTCCCTTTCCACATCTGTTTCCCAACCCCAAATCATTTAGAACATGATTCCTTCTGATTTTCTACCAGTTGGTACCACCTCCGTTTCCACCGTTGATCTGCACTCTTTGAAAATTGTCCTGTCCTTGTGAGTCCAAGCATTCATTCTGATTTGATTAATTTGATTTCCATTTCCACTCCTGCTGCCTTTTTCCTCAATTGCCAGCAGCTGGAACATACAGGAGAGCAAACCTATTAACTGCCTTATAGATCTGACTTTTCATTCTGCTGGGCACTCTTATCAAAGATCACTCTACTCAAATTGAATTTCCTAATCTGTTTGTAAATGCATCACTACTGACCCAATCCACAAACTTGTTATGCCAGAATTTTAGATTTCAGATTCATCTCCTCAGACTTCAGTGAGACAAAAGGAGCTTAAATTTGATCATTCCAAGTTTAAATGACTTTCAAACCAGACCTCTGGCTCCCATACGGGGATCAAACCTGCAACCTTGGCATTATCAGAACCATGCCCTAACCAACTGAGCTATCCAGGCTGAATGAGAAACAATGGGGAATATTCCAGTGTAAAAGCTGTAATATGTGAATAAGCCTCAAAGCTTGATGTGGATAGGAAACTTAAGACATAGTTTCAACTATCTTTTGCCAACAATGTGTTTGACAAGCATCACATAGCATATGCTGTTGCTTCTAAAATGGCTCTTAAAAAACTAACATTGTTGCTTGCTACATAGGCTGATTACTGCTATGAGCCAGGTGGAGTAATTTTTTTAAGGTAGGGGTGAAATACGGTACTTGTGTTCAACCTACAAAGAGTCACTTGTAAGTCGCAAATGATTACTATTAGTGACATTGACTAATGTTGTCTAATGAGTCTGATACTGATAAACTCATGGGAAGATAATGAGGCTCCCTTACCCGCAAACCATATGATAGTCAGCATGAATGCCTGTGTGGCGTCTGATTCATGTTTGACACTATTGGCACTTGTAGCACTGACACACACACAGAGAAACACAGACACAATCTCCAGTGTAAAGTTCCATTGTGAATGGGATGCATAGTCAGGCGAGACATCATCACATTTCAGTTTATGTATCTGATGCACCTTTTGTGTGAAAGACATTGCAGTCCTATTGCTGTCTGAAGCCTCAAGGTCTTGCTATCGTTCAACAAGTTTTAAGGGAATGATTATTGTTGTTGTTATTATTATTTATTTATTATTTATACCCCACCCATCTGACTGGGTTTCCCCAGCCACTCTGGGTGGCTTCCACCAGAATATTAAAATACAATTGTCTATTAAACATTAAAAGCTTCCCTAAACAGGACTGCCTTCAGATGTCTTCTAAAAGTCTTCTAAATCACCATCATCATCATCATTTATTATTTTTACCCCGCCCATCTGGCTGGGTTTCCCCAGCCACTCTGGGCAGCTCCCAACAGAATATTAAAAACATGATAAAACATCAAACATTAAAAACTTCCTTAAACAGGGCTGCCTTCAGATGTCTTCTAAAAGTCAGATAGTTGTTTATTTCCTTGACATCTGATGGGAGGGCGTTGACTTATTGGAAGCCAAACAGCCCCAAATTTAGCATGGCATTGTGGGTTGTGGTAGGCTGGGTTGCAAGATTCCCAGTCACCATCAAAAGGGGTTTGGAGGACTGGGGAATGGAAGTAGCAAGGGAGAGGGATTCTGGATAGATCTGCCTTTGGGAACAGAATTAGATCAGAACATTTGTTCCTTCCAACCCTACAACTACAATCGACCTCAAAATTCTCATACACGAGCCTCACCCCCTCCCAAAAAATATGCACAGGCTCCAAACAAAAGAGCAGAACAATGTTTTTGTTCTAGATTTTAGTGCTAGGAATCCTACTGGGCTTTTATGTTTACATAAATTTGGTCATTGATATGCCAGCTTTCCCTCTTCTCCAAATAGCAGTTTCATATTATTTAGATACTTGGGGGGGGGGGAGGAATACTGTTTGTCAAGTACATATGGAATCATTTGGACATGATAATTCAACACTACCCTCCATATGAATTATAGCCTCTTTCCTCCGTGATCTAATTATCATGCAACAATGCAACGAAGCACTAAAAATTAAAGCTCAAAAAATGTGCACCTCTGATGAATCACTTCCCATTAATCTTATGTAGAACAGGTGATAATAGACAAGAAGGGAAGATGTGCATTTAGTGAGCATGTAGAACTAATGGGAGGAAATGTTATCAATTGGAGAAAAAGAAACGCTTCATTATGCACATTCACTCCCCAGATTAAATCCTGTTAGGAAAAGTGACTGGAAATCCATTTGACTGTGTGTGGAATGAGCTAAGAACGGATAGGTAGCTTTCCATTTACTTCATATCAGATTTATCAGACAACTTTTTAAAAACTTCAGATTTGAAACATGCATTGCATCGTTTACATAATGAAACATGCTCTGAACCACGACCATTTC